AAGAACAATAGTATAATGACTAGAGCAAGGGGTAATCAAAAAAAATTAGCTGACAAGATGAACAACATATGTTATATCCGTGTGAGTAACAGTGAGATATACAAGACAACCTACCAACTGGCGATAAAGAGTGGCATCAGGGAGAGGTGTATCATCCAAGGGAGTAAGTCGAACATTTTTCTCTAATGAGGTATTTATAGTCTTGCAATTAGTGATTCTAATATGACCTAGAAGATTAGAGGCATACTTGGTCTGAGAGAGATAATACCTACTAGAGTCAGACGAGATCTCAAGACCCAAGAAGTAGTTGAGAGAATCAAGATCCTTCATCTCAAAATGTGTGAGAAAATGTTTGAGATCAGAAATACCAGAAACATCATCCCAGTGATAATCATATCATCAATATAGAGAAGTAGTAAAGTAGTGTCATGCTCAAACTTACGAACAAAGAGAGATGAATCATAAGGGCTGGAAGAGCAACCAAAATTTCTAATGATACATCTAAACTTTGCAAACTAGGCTCTAGGGGCTTGTTTGAAGCCATATAGTGCACAACGGAGTTGACAAACTTGATGTGGTAAATGAGGATAACCAAGAGGAGGTTGCATGTAGACTTCCTTAGTAAGATCACCATTGAGAAAGATATTTTTGACATCTATTTGATGTAATTTCTACTAGCGAGTCGCAACAACAACTAGTAGGCTTTGAATTGAAGTGAGATGAGCTACAGGAACAAAAGTCTCCTCATAATCAATACCATACTCTTGTGTAATATCCTTGGCCACTAGACAAGCCTTGTAATGCTTAATAGAACCATCAAAGTGAGTCTTGATCTTATAAACCCATTTACAACTAATAGCCTTTTGGTTAGGAGGAAGATTAACCGAATCCCAAGTATGTGTGTCAGCTAGTACCTATAGTTCATCTTCCATTGCTTGTTTCCAATGAGGGTTAGATCTAGCCTTGCAATAAGAGTGAAGCTCATGATGAAATAGAATAATGGAGAAACAATGATAGTCATGCAAACGAATAGGAATGTTCCTTACCCCGAGTGGAATGACACTACTGATGAGTAGGAGAATGAGTATCACTAGGAAGTAGTATAGAAGGTTTAAGAGTTGAGGCATGATCAGTATCAGTATGAAGTGGGGAAGGAGTAGGATCAGAATTAGGAGACAGGACAGAAGCCTCTACATAGTCCATAGATGGGAGCTCAAATGAGTCTTGATGTGGGTCATCAAGACATAAATCCATAAATGGATCAATAAAGAGAAAAGAAGTAAGGGCATATAGAAGCTGAAACTGAGACAAGGAGGAGAACATCTTGTATTCCCGAGAAACATGAAGACAATTGGAATATGGATCCCAATAATGATAACCTTTATGTTCAATCCCATAACCCAAGAAACAACAAAGCCATGCTCGAGGTTCCAACTTGGTACGCTCATGAGGTTAGAGTAAGACAAAACAAGCACAATCAAAGACTCAAATAGAGTGATAATTAGGAGAAGTGTTAGACAATCACTCATATGTAGATTGATTCCCAATAATAGGAGAGAAAATATGATTAATGTTGTAGACAGCAGTAAGAACAACTTCACCTCAAAAACGCTCAAGACACGAAAAAGAGATGAGAAGAGCACAAAAAATATCAAGAATATGACGATATTTGCGCTCAGCACATTCATTTTGTTGGGATATGCCAGGACAAGAACAATGAGGAATGGTGCCATATTGATTGAGAAAGTTAAGGAAAGTGGTATCTCTATATTTCATGGCATTATCAGATCTAAAGACTTTAATGGATCGTGAGAATTGAGTTTGAACTATTTTGGCAAAATTATAATAAATTGTGATAACTGAGATTGAGTTTGTAAAAGATAAATCCAAGTGAAGCGAGAATAGTCATCAATAAAAATGACAAAGTACTTTGAGCCTCCCATAGTGATAGTTGGAGCAGGTTCTCAAATATCAGAATGAACCAAATCAAAAGGGGCAGAAGACAAAGAGTTACTGCTACTGGAAGGTAGAGCTGATTGTTTTGCAAGTTTACAAGACAAACAATCTAGTTGTTCACTATGAACATGCCCTAACTGAACACTAAAAATTAAATACTATAGATGACTTGAAGAAACATAACCTAGACGGGAATGCCAAAGATTAAAATAAGAGTTGGTTGAAGTGGAAGCATCAATAGTAAAAAGGACTGAGGAAAATAGTCATTGTGGAAGACAAAGATAGATAAGCTTAAACAAACGTCCATGCTTACAACCTATCCAAATGGTATGTCATGTCCTTGGATCTTGGACAGTAAAACCAATAGAAGAGAACAATACAATGCATCCAAGGTCACAAAGGTGACGCACAAATATGAGATTAAGAGTAAGATTAGGTATGTGATAAGTATGAAAAAGTGACACATGAGATTCAGAGATATGTCCAACGTGATTGACATGCATATGTGAGCCATCTGCAGTGAATGAGTGGAACAGAACTAGCAGACTGTGTGGAAGAAAGCAATGATCCATTAGGGGTCATATGGTTACAGAATGTAGAGTCAAAGAACCAAGATAATTTACTTGAAGTGGCTAACAATACACTAGAAGATGGATTAACTGATACAGAAAGAACCATTTTGAGGATAGCCGCAATATCACTGGCACTAAAGTTTGAAGAAGAGACTTTGGAGGACAAGAGTCATTGATAGTAGAAGCAGTAATGTGAGAAACAAGTATAGACTTATTACTGGACTAATTATTAGATTTGTACTGCTGGTTGGTGGTAGGCCTGCCATTCTTGGGTGTGTTATGGTACAAATTTTGTGGATTGTTACTCAGATAGTGTCTTGTACTCTTTTTTTGACAAAACTTGTGAACTCGGGTAGGACAGTTGAGCAGAGCATGACCAATCTTGTGACAATATGAGCAGTGAGACTGGGGCATATCAGATAGTGTCATAATGGATTCAAACAATCAGTGAACGAATGGAAGGTCACCAGAGAACGTTGAATGATGGTTGGAAGGCGATCGAGATGTTGCCAGAGGATGACCAGAGGTGATTAGAACATTACTGGAAGATGATCGGAAGGTCGCCGAGAGAAGGCCGGAGGCAAATTGATACGTCGTCAGAGGATGACCGGAGGGTCACCCGAGGTTGGCCTGAAAGGTTGTTGGAAGGTCGTCATTGGATGGGCAAGAGAGGTTATCGGAGGACAACCGAAAGAATGAAAAGCCTCAAAATTTCTGATGTGGCAAATCCCTTGTAGGGCAACCATAGAGTATACTATCATTGACTAAAAAGATTCACGAACCTAGACACTGATACCATTTGAAAGAAAAGAATAAAAAGCAAATATCAATTGTATATTGTTTTGGTGTGCCTTTCTATGTATAATGAAGTGTATTTATATTACAAGAGAATAAGAAAGTATGCTAGTCTAACCAATGTGGGACAAAGAAAAACGTATATACATTAACATGATCCATATCCCTTTTAGGCGCTAATGCAAATAGATGTAAATATATACCACACAGTATTAAAAAAAAAATTGTAGTTGTTCGTTTTAAGAAAATATTATCTATAAACGAGATCTCCATGCCATAAATATATATATATATATAAAGAGCATATGGGGAATTTCGTATGATTTTTTCTTGCCATGTTTTCGTTGCTAACATGACAAGCCTTAAACAATGGTCTTTTGGTTCAATAGTATTTCTTATCTTATAAAGAAACTATCTTCTTGAAGTCAAGGATTCAAGCCTCCTTCCACCCTCCCTACCCCAAAAAAAATAAAAAATAAAAATATGACAAGCCTATCACATCTACGAATGAAAACAGGGTATTGAAGTTCAACTAATATCTAATCGAGGAGGCATGCTGGTACTGAAAAATACTTCCTTCATTTTTTGACCAATAAAAAGGTGCCACATTTACATTGTTTTATTCTATAATTTCTTGTTACTCTATCATTTGTACAATCAATAGTTATAGATCGTTCAATTTAAAATCAATGGTCAAGATTAATAGAAGTACAGTACCAATCATCTACACCGTATGGCTTACCCATATAATTAATGTCCCAACAAAATAAGTGTTGTGATCGTGCAGCAATTATGGTGAATAATAGGGAATCAAACAATTAAGAAAGCAAGAGAAAATAACACAGAGATTTACGTGGTTCGGCAATGTGCCTACATCCACAGGAGCGAGCGGCCGTTCTTTTTTATTATTCAAAGTAGGGTTACATCTTAAATATTTATATAACCCTAGTACGGACGTATTTACAATATACCCCTGTACCGTACCGCAGGGGCGTTACCCCCGCACCCCCAACTAATCAGTGTCCCCCCCAAGGCAGATGCTGTCGCGGGCTCCGTTCCGATATCTGTCTCCTTGCCATTGTGCACACAGCAAATATGAGCTACACATACTCTAACAATAAGTCTGACCCATAAAGCCTTGAATAAAGACTTATTTGCTAAGGTTCGAATATTGGAACTTTATCATGTTATCATCACAATGAAAAATATGTATAAAAGATCAAAGATCAAAGTTAGCCACATGGGATTTACTATTACAAAAAAGACCTGTTTTCTTTTTCTTTTTTTAAATAAGCCCATCCAAATACATGCATGAAAGCTTTAATATACAAGGTGTCTTTTCACTGCCTTTCCATGTTGTTTCCCACTCATACAACTAAAGGGTGGTTAAAGAAAGTTTAAGCATACCACTATAGTCCGAAATATGAGTAGGATGTAACCCAAAAGAGAGGAACAAAGAAGAGTATAGTAAATTATCAAAAAAAAGACACATAAAAGATCAATATTTGTCTTTGACATGGATCGACCCTGACCCCGATCCCAAAGAGGGGGACACTTAAAAGGGTTCCTAGAAGTGCTTTTGGTTAATATCTTCATAGGTATAGTACTGAGTGATCACAGACTTTGCATATATAATTCCTTCAATTGGGGCAGTTGTTAATCCCAACTTTAATTGTGATGGCAACAGAATCGTCACCCTTGCCTGAGGAGCAGCAGTCTCAGGACACAGTGCCTAATCCAGAAGCCGTATCGAGCAGTGCTGCTTCAGGGTCTATTGGCCCGTTCTTTGCAGTCATTTCTGTGCTAACTGTTCTAGCCATTCTGTCATGTATTTTAAGTAGGATTTGCAAGCGTCGGGTGGTGACGCCGCTGGAAAGTATCAAGCATGTAGGTTGTTTTCGGTGGTTGAAGCGTCGATGCAGCCGGTGCGTGGCGGGGGACGAGGGGGTATCGGGTGAGAAGGCCATGGTGCACGAGAAAGAAAGCAATGGTGGTAAGGCCCTTGATGGTGTTTGACACAGTTCTACTTCATTTCAGGTGGTGCTAGCTTATGATTGCTATTCCAGTTTGCTTCTTATAAATATTACCCTTCCTGTGTTTTGTTCTTGTGCTTTAATTATTCTAATGATAAAAATCAACTCAATAATGCGCCCTTTGTATTCGTGGTCCTTTGTATTTGTGGTTCTTGTATCAATTCAGAATGCACTCAATCACTTGTAACACATGTACATCAAGTAAATTAGGATGCCTCTTACGAGATTCTAATCTTGGAATAGTTTGGAGTCTCTTTCGAGAAAGTTTAGAATCTTAAAATATATATTCACTATTGAAGCCCGGTGGTCAGAAACGGGGTTGTCAATATCTCAGAATCATCATCTCTGTACATTTTGTGATTACCCCCACCCCACAAATGATCAATTTAGAGAACAATTATCTTAATCCAATAGATCTGATAAATGTTTAATGCAAAAAAACAAAGATGGCCCCATCTATCAAACCAAAAAGATCAATATATTTCTCTTTAGTCTATCTATTTATTTCAATGTATGGTATGTTTTTGTGTGTGCATATGGATTTGGTGATTTATTGTTTTACACAATTTCTCTGCCCTTTAGACAGCCTGATGTACTTTGAAGTTCAATATCATCACATTAATTACTATCACGTAGGTCTCTCAAAGTTCGACACGACACAATTAACTGACACGAATCGACACGAATGAATTAAGCGAATTTGAGTGAGACCTTAATGGGTTCGAGTGATAAACGAGTTGACCCGTCAGACACGTTTAATAAATAGGTCGTGTTCGGATGTCAACCCGTTTATCTGTTTAAATAAAAATAATATAATAATAAATTAATAAATATTTTTAAAAAATAAGCAGATTTTTTTTTATTGACAACCACAAAAAATATATATATTATTTTTAGTGATAGCCACATTTTTTTTTAATTTAGTTACAGTTACAAAAAATAAATTAATTAATAATAAATTAAAATTAAACGGGTTAAACGATTCGTGTCATATTACCCGTTTATTAAACGGGTTGTGTACGGGTTTATATGTTTTTCACCCGTCACCTGTTTAACCCGCTACATGTAACCGTTTAAACCGACACGTTTAACACCTCTACTTCCATGTCGGCTTCATCCTCATCTTAGTGGATTTGGACTCCCACCAGCACATGTTGCCTCAATCATAAATTATTAATTATGAATTTAAGAAGACCCCATCCTCACTAATTGCTCCACCATTATTACATGGTAATAATATGAAGTGAAATTGAGTGAATGTGTATTATGGGTAGTTGGAATCTCACCCCGGTGAAAAAAAATTTAGTGTCACATGTAGTGCCGAGGACGGAGCTAAAACTTTTGTTTAGTGAGGGCAATCTCTTATTGTAAAATTAAAATCATAATGCTAAGACTATTTAATGATATCGCGAACATGTTAATTAATTTGTAATTTGACGGTTTGGAAGCTAAAGCTATAATTTTAAAATTAGAATTTCAAATTTCAAGTCCAATTTTTAATTTGTTATTGAGACATGTGCACGCACTATAGAGTCGTGACATTAAATCATATGAAAGAAGCGTGTATATGATTTTTTAAGTCAAAGAATCCCGCTTATTTACTAAAACAAAAAGAATAATGTTATTTAAATATAAAAATTAATTTAATTTGATGACCTAATTATAAGGCGACTAATATGGTCTCAAATTATTATTTTAGTTGCAATTCGTTGCAACTCGTGGACTTCTTATTAGAACCATATATCACTTTGAAACACAATTAGGTCAATAAATTATGTCAAATTTTTAGGTCTCAAGAATATTATTCAAGTATAAAAGTATCCATAACATTTTAAAATTTTTTTTAGTGGAGACAAATTCTAAAACAATTTAAAATTTTTAAATGAACCCAAATGTTTTTGAGAATTGCACTGGGGGCAGTTGTCTCCACTACCCCAGTGTAAATTTGCCCTTGACAGTGCCATGTGATGTCTGCAACTAATAAAAACTTACCACACAACTTATTTTGTCAAACACACGTGAAAATGTATCATTTTTTTTGAACATTTGACAATGCACAATATTTTTACCACTCGACTCATGAGTATCGGAATAACAGTGATGCAATGTCATTAGTGGCACACATACTGTATCATCATCTAATAACAAAATTCCACTTGTGCGTGATGTAGTTACCACATGTTCTGTTATGGGTATGTGTTGCTCTAAAATCTATTGCGATCAACATAAATGCTTCAGTCGACAGACAGCTTTCAAGCAATTGCTTTTGAATGAGTTCTACTACTTTGTTTCAGGACTTCTCTGGATGAAATTCAATAACCAAACACACAAAATATTGAACTAACAAAGAAATATTCCTTTATTAATTCAATCGAATGAGTTTCAGTAACAAAGTGACTGATTTAATAGCCTTTGGGGGGTTTGAGTTGTTGTTCGTCTTCCTCATTTTTCTCTTTTATAGCCACTTCTCTCAACGGTTTCTCCCTTATGGACAGTTATTTGATTTCGTAACTCCTAAACAGTTATTTTCTCTTTCAAACCAAAACTGTGACTGGTTGCTTCTCGCTTTTTTTTTCAACTCTTGACACGTGGCGCCCTCTTAATGATTTCAGGCTTGCCAACAACACATGCATCGAATGTTCTTACAAGTTGTATTTTAGGTCCAAACAATGCCCCTCATTTAATTGGGTATATTCCTTAATCAAGCCAAGTGAATGAACCATCACGTCCGTTGTCTTTTCTCATTGCCTTCTTAAGATGTCTTTCAACAGCTAATCTATTTATTTCAAATGGGCAAATGAACAGTAAGTTACAGCCAGAAAGCCCTCAACACACCTATTTAAAGTTTTATCCGTACTGGTTTGCTTTACTTCTATAATCTTCATTGGCTTGTTCTCAATTTTAAACTTCTCCTTGATTTTTTTGATGGCATCCAAATGGAAAACAAGTTGCTCTATCCTTGCTAGCTCCTCTCCAAGAATGCCTCATGCTCTTTGGTTCTCTTCAAGCCTCAAATATGTCGTTCGGTATTCAATTGATGATTGAATCATTATCCCCTCTGAAGATCCTGGGGCCAACTTGCTCTAGATTTAGCCTTCAAATCCACCATGCTTCCAACATTGTCTAAATGCTACCCTATTGCTCATGGAGAAACCTTAGCACTTCATCGCCCCCATCTTCAATGGAGGCATTGAGATTAAGGAATTACTCCTTTGAAAAATTAGATTGACCCAAACCTATAATAGTCTGACTGGGTGACATGAATGGAGGTGCATTTCTTTGACTAATAGAAAGAGCACAGGATCTATGAACAAATTAAGCTCTCTATTTGTCCTTTTTTTAAGAATCGCTAGCTCATAGGCATAGCACTCTGTTTCTGGTCAAATTCATATAATGCCATGATCCTTTCTCTTGGCATGATGCCGTCTTCCATTCTCGATGTCATGCACTTAATAGGGCTTCCATCGACTGGTATTGAGGTAACTGCAACCTTGAAACCAAATCGCATCTTGGTAGATATCCCTAACAATTTTAGCTATTCCAACCATGTCTCCTTTCTATAAGCCATATTCTGGCCCCTTCCTATGAAGAACATATTGTTTTCCTTCTACATTCACTCTGTCTCTTTGTCCTTTGTGTCCCTAATCTTTAAGTCACGACTGAATACAATAGCATTGCTATTCTTCTCGGCGATCGTCACATTTTGCCTTTGTCCCCCTTTGTTTTAGGAGCTCTTTATATAGGCCTTTTTGACATGGATGAGAAAGGTATCAATGATATTTGTGGAGGTCCTCTCTGGCTATTCCAAGCATGGTTGAATGCCTACTTTCGTGAAACTTGGGTCATCGAGTATCTTCCCTTTCCAAAGTTTTGGCCTCTCTATTATGCCCATTACTTCCTTGTGTCAGTACCTTCATCATTGCNTTTTTGATGGCATCCAAATGGAAAACAAGTTGCTCTATCCTTGCTAGCTCCTCTCCAAGAATGCCTCATGCTCTTTGGTTCTCTTCAAGCCTCAAATATGTCGTTCGGTATTCAATTGATGATTGAATCATTATCCCCTCTGAAGATCCTGGGGCCAACTTGCTCTAGATTTAGCCTTCAAATCCACCATGCTTCCAACATTGTCTAAATGCTACCCTATTGCTCATGGAGAAACCTTAGCACTTCATCGCCCCCATCTTCAATGGAGGCATTGAGATTAAGGAATTACTCCTTTGAAAAATTAGATTGACCCAAACCTATAATAGTCTGACTGGGTGACATGAATGGAGGTGCATTTCTTTGACTAATAGAAAGAGCACAGGATCTATGAACAAATTAAGCTCTCTATTTGTCCTTTTTTTAAGAATCGCTAGCTCATAGGCATAGCACTCTGTTTCTGGTCAAATTCATATAATGCCATGATCCTTTCTCTTGGCATGATGCCGTCTTCCATTCTCGATGTCATGCACTTAATAGGGCTTCCATCGACTGGTATTGAGGTAACTGCAACCTTGAAACCAAATCGCATCTTGGTAGATATCCCTAACAATTTTAGCTATTCCAACCATGTCTCCTTTCTATAAGCCATATTCTGGCCCCTTCCTATGAAGAACATATTGTTTTCCTTCTACATTCACTCTGTCTCTTTGTCCTTTGTGTCCCTAATCTTTAAGTCACGACTGAATACAATAGCATTGCTATTCTTCTCGGCGATCGTCACATTTTGCCTTTGTCCCCCTTTGTTTTAGGAGCTCTTTATATAGGCCTTTTTGACATGGATGAGAAAGGTATCAATGATATTTGTGGAGGTCCTCTCTGGCTATTCCAAGCATGGTTGAATGCCTACTTTCGTGAAACTTGGGTCATCGAGTATCTTCCCTTTCCAAAGTTTTGGCCTCTCTATTATGCCCATTACTTCCTTGTGTCAGTACCTTCATCATTGCACAAGGACTTCAACTTCTATTTCAAAGCATTCCATGATTTGGAGTTTGCCAGGTA